GTTGATAATGGTCTATTTGATTCAGTGCTGTGTGCCAAGTATTTGCTGTAGGTTATAAATTAGCTTTGAACTGGCTGTAATTCATAAATCATTACTTATGACTTATTTATTGGAACCCTGATTAATTGCAATAGCACAAAGACCTTGAAGCAAGCAAGAAGTGGAAAGTAAAACTATACCTGGAGATAGAAAAAGAGAAGACACATGTACCCTATAATTCATATCAGCGTATCATATTTGCATATGTTGAATCATAGTACATTCCATTCCTCGTCATGACAGTTTTTTATACCACAAAATTGAGCAGAAGGTATTTTTGCACCTCCTAAGTTATTGAAGAAGAAAAAACTGAGTGACCGCATAATTTTTCCTTTCTATTAGTATGATATTTTGATTACTATGTGGTAATGAATACATACATTCTGTAACAGTTTTAAAAAAGACTGGAATGGATGGCAGTGTTGTGCTTTCCATGAAGGGGAAAGTGAAATGAACAGAGCAGAAGTCAGCGCCCAATCTTCACCATCCCTGAGATGTGAGCTCCCTGTGATGTAGAAGGTGCGTGTGAAGCAGCCTCATATCTTGGCCTCCTTGCTGGACCCCTGGGTGTAGCTGCCTTTATTGTGCCATATTTTAAACAAGAAAATAACAACAAATGGTAGAGTAAAGATGTATGTTCTTCACTTCTTTGCTTTTTACTTTCAACCAGTTATTTAAATAGATACTGCCAGAGAAACTAAAGATTCTAAGGAGGGATATTGGGTAGGGGATGGGAGAAAGGAGGAAGAGCAGGATCCTGGCAAACCAACTCTGGAAACACTGATTATGCTTTGTGCAACAGGGAACTTCTATTTATGTTTTATGCCTGATAGACTTAAGCAATGTACTAATTATATGTATGTCCAAGTATACTTAAAACATTGTCTCAGGCTTTCACGGAGAGCAAATTGGTCAAGCAATGGCTGTGACTTATCCACATGGCTGACACTGACAAAGGATCTACAAACTACAGTACAGGGTTTCAGGCTAAATCCTGAGGGGATTTGACTGACCTTGTCAGATACAAAAGTTCCATTTCTTGTTATATAGGTCTTGTTTTATCTTGGTCTTAACCATCCAGCTGAAAAATATAAAAACGAAATATAAAAAGTAAAGCCATATTAATATGCTGAGCTATAAAAGGCTCAAGTCAACAACTTCTAACATTGCCAGTCCTATGGATAACCCACTAAATTATGGACTACTAGACTATATTGGAATATTTTGCTGAATTCATACACCTACAATATTTAAGTGACAATGGAATACACTTCTCTGACAAAACTAAACAAAAAAGGGGAATACAAATGAATGACCATTTTGTATATGTATATTCAAAAGTTAGGATAGATATACAGCTACATTCTCTTAATTCAATGAATAGAAAGATTTGTTCTTATAGTGTTTGTGGACGTAATATCATGTCTGCATCTTGTACTATGAATAACCACTAAGAAGACAACAATATGCAATATATTAATTATTGAAACTGTCCTATTAATCGGTTTTGAAAGTGTCTCATTGTTGTTTCTCAGTAAAATTATTTTTAAAAAATCACTAAAATGAGAACTTTTCCATGATAGTGATCACTGGAAGTTTAGGTAGATTCCCACTAATAGTAGAGACCTAAAATAGTTTTTTAAGGCCATGTTTAAATTTGCAATGACAGATAATTTTCAGTCTAACAGGTGCAGTCACAGTATAAATGGGACAATGTGAAAGCCTAGTCACAGAATTCATGTAATCCCTCGGACCTTGTTCAGTGACTATCTCCCTTGATGATTTCCTTAGTATTCATGTATGTTGAGGCCAGTAGGTCGGGAGAGGAAGACAGTGAAAGAAGATTTCTCAAGGGGAGAAGTACCAGACCGAGGAGGGGTTATGTCATGAATTAAAGGGGAAAGAGCCTCTATTATGGCTTATACAAGAATCCAGGATAGCAGTTTTGGCAAGATCTGGGATATCAGGTATGCTTTGCTGCCTGGAACCTGGCTCTGTGGTCCTTCAGGTGGTGGGGTGCTAGGTGGATCATAAGGTCTCTGTGAGCACTTGGAAAAGTACCTGAGTTGGTGATTGGTGTTGGATTGGGTGGTTTGAGAAGAAAAGTCAGGGCTGGTAGGCAAATCCTTTCCTATTTCTAGGAACAAAGAGGTCCTGGAGGGGGCTGCCTCTTTTGGATCAGTAAGGTACCAGATGTCAAAATACCAGAAGATGTAAAGCATCACCAAAAGTTTAGGACGTGTCACTATATACATACACAAAAAGCTATAATTAGGTAGTAACTCTTCATCCCTTTTGAAACATAATAGTAGAAAAGAAGAGAAGAGAAGAATCAGTAACCCAGACCCTGCTCCCCAATCTTCTTTACTAGAGCAGGAAAAGGCACCAAAACAAGTATCTATCTTTAGCTAGAAAGCAATGAAGAACTTTAAACATCACTTTCTTGAGATTAGTGCTCCTTTCAGTAGTCCTGTGAATATATGTTTAAGGATGGCTAGTGACAGCTGCTTTTCTTGAGAAGCACATCTCCTGTGATTAGAAAGAGCCCCCTCGCAATTCCTAGATGAAGCTCTTTACAAAGGCCCATTTATACTGGTGACCTCAGAACCACGGGAGGTTATAGCCTAAAGAGAAGCCAGTCCTTTTACTTCGAGCCCCCATTTTAGACATGGAAGGTATAACCATGAAACTTTCCTGCTTTCCGATATTGTCTTCTCTTCAAGGGTGACTGGGAACAACTGAAAGATCCTCGTGGCTTTTGCTGTACTCTAGTTTCTTCCAAAGCTTTCTGTCATGTGTATTAGCTCAATATCATTCCTTGAAAATAAAGCTGAAAATGGCATTCTTTTTTTTTAAAAAAAAAGACAGGTTTCACACAGATTAAATCAGGATTCTTAAATGTAGTATGATCGGGCATGGGCAATCTAGGGCCAATTTCCTCTAAGCTTCCTTTCCTAATCTCTCCTTCAGTCTTGTTCTCCTGTTACAGGAAGTGTCTCCCATCCCCAGGGTACACGAGGATGTTTTCCATGCCCTTGTCTTGATTCAGGTTAGTAGCTCTGCCTAAACTCTTTCCTTTCCTTTCTTCCCCAATTCTTACAAAACCTACATCAACTCACTATGTTTTTTAAGCCACGCCCTCTTGATTTCCCCACACAAATTAATATGGTCTGACATTTGTATTTTTGTGCCAGAATGGTCCAGTCTCATCTCAATGCACGTGTATTATTGTACTTCATCTGTTTGCTATCTGTCTCATCTTTTGAATTAAAATTCTCTCAGGAACAAGGATTCTCTTTTTTTCATCTTTAGACACCCGGTGCTTAACATGTCTAGCTAATAGAAGCAACAAAAACAGAATAGTAATAAGAATATCTAACATTTGCTGAGTTTAAATATTGGAAATCATTATTTAAATTCTACAGCTGCATTAGGTCATGCCATCCTCGCAGCCCTAAGAGGTGAGTGTACTACTTTCATTTCCATTTTCCAAGAGCGGAGTTTTGATTAAATCACAGAAAAGATGGCCCGGCATGACACCAAACAGGTTTTAAATTAGTATATTTTTGTTAGCATATAGTAAGCTGCTTACTATCCAATCCCCTTTATATCCTTGCCAAAAGAGCCGTAGATGAGACCTTGAATACTGAGATAAAAGATTTAGGCTGAGATGAAGGGAAATTGCCTCACAGGAGTCCAGCCAGCAATACCTCAATTGAGTAGGAAATATACTAGGTACTACTTGTTCCTTAGGAAGTACACCTTGTGCTGAAAAAGATAGAGCATATTATTTATTTTATGTTTTATCTATGAATCTACTTAAAATCAGTAAACTTGAAGACACAAAGTATATTTGTCTTATTGTACTATTTTTCTACATATAACAGTGGCATTTCTTGGGAGATGGTTTAGTACGTGACTTGTCTGCCTGTAGGTAGGATTTGGGTGCATTTGAATGAATTCCGTATGTGTTGCTTTCTAGAAATTCATGTACACACCTGCTTGTTTCGCTTTCAGGGCACCTTCACAGGTCCCATAAATGAAATTGCTGGTGCTTACAACTGAAGCTTCTCAAAGAAGAAGGATACTTTTAAAAAATTCTATTGTGAAAAATACTTTGCTTCTACCTTTGTTCTTACAGGAGGATTTCCAGGGTGGGTTTGAGACTAGTGCTCGGGAACTAATCTGGCAAGCTCTCAGTTCTCAGCTCGCTGATGATACAAATCCTTGCATGCTCCTTTTTCTGAGATTGCATTTGTTCATCTTGAAAAGAAGGCATGGGTGAAGGATAGTTTGGGAAATGCTAGGTCATATGTTAGAGGAGAGCTGTGAGTATGAAGAAAGGTCACAGTTAGCTTCGTAGGATGCACTTTCAATTGTGAAGGGACCCATTTTTGCTATTGTTCTCTTGTCACTGATAGTAAATTCTTAATTTTTAACAAGTCATTTCCCACTTTTCTTCCGCACTAGGTTCTGCAAACTATGTAGTCACTCCTGAATAAAACCGTCTGTGCATTCTGTGGTCCATTCTGCCTGGCACATAGTATGATGTTCAGTGATGTCTCAGGCACCACTAATCTTGCAAAGAGCTTTTAGTTTTTTAGGTGCATCCCATAAGTCCTATTTTCTGAGCTTTTTCGATCTGATATGGAACTGAAATTAATGGTGAAGTTCACCCCATATGTGGCCATGAACTTGGGTGACACTCAGTAAATACATTAGGACCCTCTACTTCATTGTTCTACTTTCCTGTGATTACAGATCTTATGGAGTACAAACTGATAGCTAATTTGTATGAGAGGAAAAGCTCTTTTCAGTAAAGAACCACATAGCTCAATCAGAGTTCCATTTTAGTCTCACGAATAAAGGCATTAGCTGATAATGTATATCACTGGTATTACTCTGGACAGACATTTGGAGAAAGGCCTAATACTGTTCTTTTTGCTTTTACTATTTTTCAGACAGTTTGAACTCCAGAAGGACCAACACCAGATAAATTATGAATGTTGAACAAGATGACCTTACATCCACAGCAGATAATGATAGGTCCTAGGTTTAACAGGGCCCTACTTGACCCCCTGCTCGTGGTGCTGCTGGCTCTTCAACTGCTCATGGTGGCCGGTCTGGTGCGGGCTCAAACCTGCCCTTCCGTGTGCTCCTGCAGCAACCAGTTCAGCAAGGTGATCTGCGTTCGGAAGAACTTGCGTGAGGTTCCAGATGGCATCTCCACCAACACGCGCCTGCTGAACCTGCACGAGAACCAAATTCAGATCATCAAAGTCAACAGCTTCAAGCACTTGAGGCACTTGGAAATCCTGCAACTGAGTCGGAACCATATTAGAACCATTGAAATTGGGGCCTTCAATGGTCTGGCCAACCTCAACACTCTGGAACTGTTTGACAATCGTCTTACTACCATCCCGAATGGAGCTTTTGTATATTTGTCTAAACTGAAGGAGCTCTGGTTGCGCAACAACCCCATTGAAAGCATCCCTTCTTATGCTTTTAACCGAATCCCTTCTTTGCGTCGGCTGGACTTAGGGGAGTTGAAAAGGCTTTCATACATCTCAGAAGGTGCCTTTGAAGGTCTCTCCAACTTGAGGTATTTGAACCTTGCCATGTGCAACCTCCGGGAAATCCCTAACCTCACACCACTTATCAAACTGGATGAGCTAGACCTTTCTGGGAATCATTTGTCTGCAATCAGGCCTGGCTCTTTTCAGGGGTTGATGCACCTTCAAAAACTTTGGATGATACAGTCGCAGATTCAAGTGATTGAACGGAATGCCTTCGATAACCTTCAGTCACTAGTAGAGATCAACCTGGCTCACAACAACCTCACATTACTGCCCCATGATCTCTTCACCCCCTTGCATCACCTAGAGAGGATACACTTGCATCACAACCCTTGGAACTGTAACTGTGATATACTGTGGCTCAGCTGGTGGATAAAAGACATGGCTCCCTCCAACACAGCTTGCTGTGCCCGGTGTAACACTCCTCCCAGTCTGAAAGGGAGGTACATCGGGGAGCTCGACCAGAATTACTTCACTTGCTATGCTCCGGTCATTGTGGAGCCCCCCACAGACCTCAATGTCACTGAAGGCATGGCAGCTGAGCTGAAATGTCGTGCTTCCACATCCCTGACATCTGTGTCTTGGATTACTCCAAATGGAACAATCATGACACATGGGGCTTACAAGGTACGGATAGCTGTGCTCAGCGACGGTACATTAAATTTCACGAATGTCACCGTGCAAGACACAGGCATGTACACATGTATGGTGAGTAATTCTGTCGGAAATACTACTGCTTCAGCCACCCTGAATGTTACTGCAGCAGCTACTACTCCTTTCTCTTACTTTTCAACTGTCACGGTAGAGACTATGGAACCTTCTCAGGATGAAGCACGGACCACAGACAACAATGTGGGCCCCACCCCAGTGATTGACTGGGAAACCACCAATGTGACCACCTCTCTTACACCACAGAGCACAAGGTCCACAGAAAAGACATTCACCATCCCAGTGACCGATATAAACAGTGGGATCCCGGGAATTGATGAGGTCATGAAAACGACCAAAATCATCATTGGGTGTTTTGTGGCCATCACACTTATGGCTGCAGTGATGCTGGTCATTTTCTATAAGATGAGGAAGCAGCACCATCGGCAGAACCATCACGCTCCGACAAGGACTGTTGAAATCATAAACGTGGATGATGAGATCGCAGGGGACACGCCCCTGGAAAGCCACCTGCCCATGCCTGCCATAGAGCATGAGCACCTCAACCACTATAACTCTTACAAATCTCCCTTCAACCACACAACAACAGTTAACACAATAAATTCAATACACAGTTCAGTGCATGAACCGTTATTGATCCGAATGAACTCTAAAGACAATGTACAAGAGACTCAGATCTAAAACACTCACAGTTACAGAAAACAAACAGTCAAAAAGAGACAGTTTATTAAAAAAAAAATGACGCAAATGACTGGGCTGAATCTACTGTTTCAAAAAAGTGTCTTTACAAAAAATCAAAAAAGAAAAGAAATTTATTTATTAAAAATTCTATTGTGATCTAAAGCAGACAAAATTACGTGTATTCCTCAGAACCTGTTCTTGCTGCAGTTACTCACTATTTTCCCCCATCTCGTCCCTCCCTTCCCTGATTGCCATATTTTACATAGATCTCAATTCCCTAAAGAACTGGTCTAGGAAATTTTGTAAGAATTCTGTTACACTTTGAGATTTTTATGGTGAATTCCAGTGGTGAGATCCAGTCTATTTTGTCTTTCAAGCTCTCATTCTCTCTCTCCCTTGGCTGTTATTCTTTATTTCTATTTTTTTGTTTTTTTCCCCTCATGACCTTAGAAAGTAGTCCAATGGGGAATGCAATATTAGAAATAGATTTTTAAGAAAGAGTGAGGAAACTACAAGATCTTATATTTTTCATGTAATGACCTGTTCTGTATTTATGAGGAGGAACATTCCGCAGGAAGAAAAAAAAAAAAAAAAAAGCAAAGAACAGATTAAGTTACATATGACCATCTATAAAACCCATAACTTTTAAAAAACTCTAGAACCAGAATTTGTAGTTCAGAATCTTAAAATACAATTATAAATAAAATATTGTTGGTTTTTCTGTTCCTGGACACAACTCATTTGTAGTATGGTATTAGATCTCCTCCATGCTAAGAAAATACTACAGTATTCTTTAGACACACTATCCATCTCTAACGAGGTTCCACTTCACTAATTCACTTGAGTTTCAGATCAGTTTTAAAGGATGCTGTGGTATTTTTTCCTTCTCATTAGGGTTATCCTCTGTAGAACGCACCAATTCAAAAGCAATGATTTTGTAAAGTAAATTCAATTCCACTTGGAAGAAAATATTAATATAATTCATTTACTGTCTTCTAAATAAAATTTTCCTGACTAGATGAAATGTGACCCTAAAAGGTGGAAGTTTTCTACATTATCTACAGTGAAAAAAGAATGTTTGGTTGTGAGTGTTAGAAAGTTTAGTACAACAATAACTATAAAAGACTTGCTATGTGCTAAAAACTAATTATGCTATTGTAGGTACCCAAATGAGGACTGATTCCTGCCCTTACATAATTCTCAGTCTATACAGAAAATGATTACAGAAATATTCCAGAGAGTTGTTTTTTTTTTTTTTTTTCATTAGAGGTCACCTCTCATTTAATGGTTAGGTGGATGAGTGGTGTTTTGAGACTCTGACATTTCAAAATATCAGGTCGCTTTATTACGTCAACCTTCCGTGATGGTGTCTTTCACCCTTTGAGAGAGTTGACTTTATATTTCGAAGTGCACATCCCTAAACTGTAAAGAGATATGAGTGTAGAGTTACTCAGAAGAGTAGATGGACTCCACCAGAAGACATAAATGCTTTTTTTTTCAAGGTCACCAAAGGTACTTCATGTCAGTGATACCAATGTTAAATTCATTGTCATAAAGACCAATCACATCCAAAATGTTTCAGAGATGCTTAAAGTCCATAAATCATTGTAACTGAGAAAATAAAGGCTGGGAAGCCCATCCTACGATAAAGGATCAGGTTAAGAGAATCCAAATACGGTTTAAATTATCTATTCAAACAAGCAAACAAAAACACAGTGAAACAAAATCTTCACCTTCACCTGTAGAATGAGCCAGAACACTTCTGGCAGGTTGGGGCACCGTTTCCCTTTCAAGTAAAGCATAAGTGTTCCCAGTTCCCACAAACAGCTTGAGGCCGCAATGTTAATGTAATTCATCTAGAGGTATTTTTAAGGATGCAGGAGAAAATTTAGATAGGCCTCTAAGCTCCCAAGTGAAACTAGAATCTTCTGGTTGTACACCACAGCACTTTGCTAATATTTTAAGTTACGGTGTGTGCAATATCTACCTTTTGATTTTGGTGTAGTGAAATATGAATGTCATATCACTGGACTTGAAACTGGCCACCTTGGTGGTGAAATAAGAATCGACTGAAAGGAAGAAATCTTCAGCCTCTAATGGATGAACAGTGTGGATGCTCCCATTTAGTTCCACAGGCTGGACCACATGCTTGGGTTTTGTGGTCTCCAGATGTGAAAAATCAATCATTACTAGCAAAGTAGGTCAGAGAAATGTGAGGCCAGGATAGCAAATGAATGGGAACACACAAACTTTTGCTTCTATACTTTGATTGCTCATTCTTTGTTTCTCCTTCCACTTCCCCTTTGTTAGAAACATAACTCCTATTTGCTTCTACAGTGGAGCAGACACAGGCAATGAGAAGAAACATGTTACCTCTCATTTTTTGATTCATTCATTACCGAGTATACCTACCGTTGTATTCCTAAACAACAGCCCCACACCCACACGTACCCCTCCAGGCATAGATGGAAGGGTAAGTGAGCACTAGTGCAAAGAGAGCTATAAATTAGGACAGAAAAAGAGCCATTTTTGCTCGGCTTGTGCTCACCAAATTCTGTTTACAGACTCTAAACCTGTTTCATTTTGAGCTTATAATTCTTAGGAAGTTAGTCACAGCATGAAAGTCCTCTTGTCTCTGAGCAGCATCTGAGCAGTTAGATAAATTCTGCTAAATACGATGAAGGAAGAAATTACACCAAAAAATAGCTCAGAATCTAAAACATAGGATTCATATAACAAGCATATTATTGAACGCCTTTGAAAAAACTGTATTGATGAAAGATTAATTTAGCCAGATTGATTACAGTGATGTGCTTAGTAATTCCTTTGCAAAAAGGTTTTGGAGAGGAAGGACAGAGGGCTATAAAAAGCATATTTGAGAAAACTGAAACGAATTTTAGATCATTTCGATGATCTATGGGTCTATATTGATCATCAGTAGCTGATCTGCCTCGTGAGAGAGACACATACATAGTATGGACTTACTGGGATCATCGTAGAGCACATAGGATGGTTTATACATCTAGTCTACTCCTACATCAAGGCCCAGTCACACGTCTCCTGATCTACTGATATTCTATATCAAGGCAAATGGGTGGCTGTATCCTGAAACATTTTGTGCGCTAAATCTACACCATTTTCAATGAACCACAAGAAGCCCACTCTGCGTGTGTGTGTGTGTGTGTGTGTGTGTGTGTGTGTGTGTGTGTGTGATTCCTACTGTTTGCTAATTAAGGGATGCAGGTTATTCTGGGAGACATCAAAGGGGGCTTATAAAGAACAGTCTTCAACATCTTTTTCTGCTTCAAATGCTTGCTCTTCACACTTGGCTGAAACCTGGTCATCTACACCTCTGAACATGTCCAAACGGACTCACATTGACAAATTCACACAGATAACACCCTAATATAGCCTAATTTCCCCCATATTGCAAATTTTATGGATAACAATCTTTCCAAAGATTTAAATAGTTCATTTCATTATGAAACAGAGATCAATATTTTTAAAGTCTGGTGAATGGTTGCCTTCAGGGTTTACAATCAAAATTAGTATACTTAGCATATTGTTTAAGACTATGTATTATGAACTAATATGGATGCACTGGAAAATAACAAACAATGGGAGAGTTACTTTCCTCAAAGGAAAAAATAAATATTTTTTTTAATAAAAAGACTTCATTGACACTTGAAAATCAGTGAGTGACCACAGTGTGTGCAGCAGTTCTAAGTTAAATGTTGATCAAGGTGTAAGAATGAGGGCTGGTGAGATAGCTCAGCAGACTAAGGGCCTGCTTAAGCAAGCGCAGGGACTTGGGTTCGATCCACGGCACCATGTACCTCACCAGCCCCACCTGCAGGTACACTGCGTTGACCACCGAGACCAGGGGTGGTGGCAGATGTCTGCAATCCCAGCGCGGGTCCTCTATCCTTCTGGAGAAATCATAGCTATTTGGATAAACAGAAGATTTAAATGAGTACTTATAAACGCTTACAACATTGTATAATTTTAAATAATTTGCACTTTTAAATAATTTATTTGATTGGTTATATGGTGCTCCAGCTTACTAGTTTTAATAAAGACTTTAAAGTTGATGTCACTGATAAATATCAGTGCAAAGGCTGGGGTGTGGCTCTGCGTAGAGTGCTTACCTCCTAGGTGCAGAACCTTGGATGCTAGCCCCTGCGCAGTGAAAGGAAAGCAAAAACCATAAGTAACAATACAGAAATGCCTTAGTTAAAAGTAAGTATGGGGCCGGGGAGATGGCTCAGTGGAATCAGCGCTTCTCTGGCAAGCGCAAGGGCCTGAGTTCAATCCCCGATTCCGCCAAAAAAAAAAAAAAAAAAAAAGTATGTATTACAAAGCCATTCTCCCATTGTTTATGTAATATAAATACTTGGAGCCAAGTATCTGCAATGGTATCT